TCAAGGGATGAGTGACCACAACATTTTTTTTTTTCTAGCTACTCCATGCTTCGGAAGGCACGTTAAGCCTTTGCTCTTGGTTGCATTAGCCTTCAATAATACCCACGAATACACATTGGGCCAGCATGGAGGGGTCAAAGCCCGTCCTCCTTAACCATCCTTATGGAAGGCCAGAGCCCTAGTAGGAAAGGCATTAAAAGACATTACGAAGGGAGAGGAACGTTAAAAAGGGAAAAGAGCTGATGATGATGATATTTTTTTTTTTTTTTTTTTTTTTTTTTTAGTTTAGATATTGAATAAATAATCTAATAAAATAAGTTTTGATATTTTATCAGAATCGTTAGTATACAAGCATAATAACAAGTATATTGTTATAGTCAAATACTATCTCAAAAGTTCTATCAATCTAACAGTAAAAAATATAAAGATGAATGCCAACAGATAATCTCAAGACTTTCCTGCAAAGTCCGTTAAAAATTTACAGGGGCCTGAGAACATTGGTTCATTGAATGTGAAAATAATTCCGTGGAGATTCCCATAAGTTATAAGAGTAAGGAGCCACATACACTGTCAAACGAGTTGGATACAATAACTGGCACACAATGAAATTACGTTTTCTAAGCAGAAGGAATGAATTAAGTTACAAGTGTAATACTGATCTCTGCCACTGGAGATTAATTCTGCTAAACCTCAAAGAGACGTGTTCATTTACTAGAAGCACCCCGGGGAAACCAGTAAGTTAATCTTCGAATGAGTTCAGTGTAAGGTACAATCAGTATCTAATTTATATTATACAATATAATAAAAGTATTTTATGATAAAAAATTATAACTGTCATGTCATTCGGATATATAATAACAAGATTGATATTAAATAGCTTTGCAGTGTAAATAATTTTAAAAAAGAACATTTACTTGTAAACAAATGGCTTCTAAATCATCATCTATTTATATATATTTTTAAAGAGTTAAAATCATATACACTGATTTAAGTACAGGCCCGATTAACACAATACGTCCAGGGTAGTATTATACTGCCCTGCGATTCTGAAAAACCCAAATACGAATTCATTCAGGTGTCCATATTCAATTCAAAAAGCGGCATCCGCTCAATCTTGAATTGGTAGCAACGTTTCGTGGCATAAGTGAAGTGAGTTTCGAAATGACATAGGAATAGAATATCTGAGACACATATAATCAATCAATAGGGATGATGACTAATTTTTGTTTGTGTGTCCGTCGGGTACAGTGTTAAAAAATATTAAACGCGTATTTTTTTATTTTTTTCGTAATCATAAAATTACGGCGGTACATTGAGTTGAAATTTCGCATGACGTCACGTTAGAGTACGTTTTCTACTCAACTGTGACGTTGCGAGCCCCCACTCCTCAACTTTGGTGCTTGTTATCTAAGCTATTTCTTGTTAAATTGAAGTAAAAAAAAATACGTATATAATATTTTTCTATTATCTGACTGACGGACTAAATAGAATTGCATTTTTTGTACCCAGTCATCATCCCTATTGGTTTTGTATTTTATACAAAAAATGGAATCAATAGAATTTCTTCACTAAATGACGTAAATTCGGGCACATGAGTAAATTTTTATAGAATCGCAGGGCTATACCAAAAGAAGTTTTAAGTGTTTATCAGAAAAATTAATGATTTATAGATAACATATTGGAAATTATGTGCCTGGATAACCAGGGATAGAAAATACTATCTTCCACAATATGAAGAGAAGCGTAGATGAAAACTAAAAATAAATGTGTGCAGATCGCCACTATCTTATGGTGTCTTAGTTCTATCAGCTTAAGCAAGTGTTGTCTTAAAAATACTAATAAAAAAAATCTTTCTTATTTCTTAGTTGTAGTATGAACTTTGCCCATGCTTTACACGGAACATAACTCGGTGTGCTTACTACTTAATCCAGCTTGACACTGCGTGATGCCAGTGATAAGTTACCGCAAATGTTATGTAGCGGTATGTGGATATATTTAAAGTATTATGGACGTGCATGTAGTGCACAAGTTTTTCTTAAGATAACGTGAAGTATTGTCCTTAACCTTATGAAAATATTAATAAAAGTTTTCATCCTACGAGTTTAACATGTCAGAATATTATAAGACTAGGGGGAATAAGTTTTACGTTGACTTTTATTTAGATGAGAGTGTATTTACTTCTGCGTTTAAAATAAAACTAAGGAGGCCATCATCAGCCTTATAAGTGTCCCCATTGGAGGTGCACAGACCTTACCTGTAATGTCAAATTATTGAATGGTTTATATTCCAGCAGTGTGGATTTATAGCTGTTCTTTAACTTCTGCAGATCCAGTCGGATCCAAAGCCTTAACGTGCTTCCTAAGCATGAAGGAGGTCGAGTTCGTAAATTTTTATTCAACATTCTAATAACTGGCTCTCGGCAGACCGAATTCACTAACCACTGTGACATCAAGCTGCCAATAACCATTAAACATTCTTAAAATTAACAATAACGTGCAATCTAATAGAACTTAATATGTAGTTAAATCACTTATCATGTTTTAATTGCAAAATTCAAAGTTAATTCGTATCTAAAGTAGTTGGTTATTGCCATAATGTTGTACTATTATCATAACATAAGTATAAAAAGTTACAAAATGATAACTCTGGCCATATCTACTTTGAAATCTAAGTAATATGTACATGCCATTTTGTATATACATTTTTAAACATAAAAAATAGATAAAAGAAAATTACGCTACTTCTCACATCTTACCTCTTACCATCAATAAATTGCACATTAGCGTAAATTGCAGAGTTTGCGTGTAACGGAAAGATATTGAAGCTCAGAACAAAGCTGATAGAATCTGACGGGAACTGATTCTGTTGGTAGCTAGGAAGGTCGCAGCGGCGTATGATGAAGCATTTCCTATACAACCATTGTTTCTGTTATCGGATCAAATAATAACTTTTTGCTTTACAACCGATGGTTACATGTAGATTTTATTGCAAATCATTCGTAGAGATTTTTTAATATATTCCTGTTTTCTGTCTATTTTAATATACTTCTTCCTAGGGGTCGGTTTCGAGTAAGTTTTATGGTCTAATTGATAATTACTGAACGCAAAGGTTAAAATTCTAAACTTAATTGGAAGGCAAGTCAAATCATTATTTAAATACAACAATATGCGTTTTAAAAATATGTAAATTAGACGTAAACTTAACATTGACAAGTAACATCAAGTCCAGCGAACCAGTCAAGCCAACAAGTCAAGCCTTCAGTTCTGTAATGGAATATCTATTAAGAAGAACTGGTCAAGTAATAATCGGATTTACGCAAGACGGTTACCGTACATTATACATTAAAAAAAAACACGTCTGTTCTAAGGAGTTTTTTATTTTAATTTCAAATTCGAATTTTTCAAGGTCAATACAACTGATCGACTATTACTCGTAAACTTGTAAAGCTACGAGTAACTTAAGTGTGATAGTTTTCCTTTTAACTTCGTTATATACAGGTAGTACTGCCGTAACTTTTCACTTTTTACCAAAAACCGTTTAGTTGGTAGAGAAAGACATACACTTGACTCTAAAGAAAGTGAGTTTTTAAAGGCTTAATAAATTCAAACTAATTACTAAATCAAAAAACGGCCTTCCCACACTCCAAATGTTTTTGAAAAACCTATCCAACGATGTCCCACACTATGGGGAAGAAGAAAAAAAATATTATCACCAATTTACATGTAGGGGGTCAGCTTAAACTTTCTTTTTGAAATTTCACTTTACCTCTTTTTCGACCTTTTCGTTGTTAATAACGTGTGCCACATTACAACTTTTTAATGCCAATAGTTTTCCAGCTAAACCGCAGATAGACGGACGGACAAACGTACGAAGCCAAACTATAAGGGTTCCTTGTTTACCACTCTATAAACATGTATTCTGTTATATATAGTGGTAATCTGTACGGTCAACTTTTATTTAAAACGATGACAGTGATTATATATATTTATTGGCTAGAAGCATTCAGACTTTTTTATCATAATTCATTTCTTAATGAGCGCCACATTTCCAAAGTGGTTGAATACCAAACAATGTATTATGCACAGTCACGCATGTCGAGCATTATCTCAAAGTCGTGAGAAGTATCGATATATTTTTTACATTTATAAAAAAGATCCGTGAAAGTATCTTAATGTCACTTTCGTTGCCATGAGACCTTCATTCACAAAACGTACATCTATTTGAAAACACCTGCGTAAATTCACTTTTTAAATATTATCTCCAAGCTGAATCTTACAATTGTTATAAAACTAGAACAGCCAGAAATAAACAATGCGAAAGATACCGACAAGAGTAACACGGTCTAGCGCTAATATTATAAGTCACATGTCAACGTTATGATATGGGAAGTTGGAATGAAAGTCTAGCCAAAATAATTAATGTGGAAAAGCGATTTTGATATAAATGATAGAGCGAGTGAAATTGCAACAAAGCCTTTTAGATTAATATCGTATAAGAATTCCTATGTGATAACGGATTCATTATGAGGCAGCAGCTTTTGCAAAACAGGTATATTTTATTTAAAAATTTCGTTGCATTAATGCGTTCCATATAGTCTCAAATACAGTCAGTACAAAGTTGATCAATATTGGTTACTTTGCTCTTGGTATTAAAGTAAAACAATTTCAATAGATTGAAAAAGATAAGATTAATTGAAATAATCACAAAAAGTAACGTAAACAGAGTCACAGATGATCAAGTAAATTTCATGGAACGGCCCACCATAAATTTTTGTTTGACCGTGGTGAAACTTGACGGGTACCATGCTTGCAATGATGGACTATGATGGCAACGAATTTGCCATGGACATTTGCAACCTAATAATGTCATCTAGGAAGCTGACAGTTGTGTAATCTAATTATGAAAGTGCCACAGATATGAAATCTGACGACGATAATTGAAATATTGCGGTATATCAATTAGGTATAGCTAATAAACGATGCGTACCTTGTGAATTAGATATGCTCGTAGTATTAGCTACTTCTACTAAAATATATATATTCGTTATAGGTACGTACACCTAAGTAGTTCAAGTTTTTTGTACAACACTTCAAATTCAGATTACGACCTCATCTTGTCTCATCAATAATGATGAAGTCGTAATAGGCACATATGCTGCGACTTTTCAAAAGGTAAGAGAAGAACTTGTTTTTTTCTTAAATTGATTAGAAAAATTATTACATGAAGAACTACTTTTATCGATTCTAGCAATTACTCTCCAAAAATCAAAATGACAATGAAAGATTATTCTGTACAAAAATATTATTATATCGCAATTAATTATTCAATTTTAAATATCAATTATCGTTTAGAGTTATGATGATTTCATCAATGCCACATGAAAATAATATGGCGACATAGCTAAGTATCTTTCAGAAACTTTCGTATTTAGGAATAGTTGTGTAATATATTCATCAATATCTACTAGTAGTCAAGTACGTGTGACAAAAGCTTGACATTTCGGTTAAGATGTTACAGCATCGCTTCTCAAGTTGGATTAACTTCAGAATTCAGCGCAATAGTCTGGTAATTAACGTTCAGACTGTGAAGATACCCATGTATGTATGCCGATACCAAAGTGGCAATATTTTTCTACCTAATCTGACATTAGAATGGCGACCGCGGACTTGTGGTCCGTTCGAAAGAGGACTTATTTCGCAAGGGCCCTACAGCACCGCTGATTGTATTAGATGGGAGAATTTAGTTGTATTGTCTGGTTTGGTAACTAAAAGGTTTTGCTGTACAATAATAGGCATATTGTCTGATACGTATTCAGTGATATTAATTGGTCTCATTTATTGCTGGTTTGATAACTCTACGTGTTCTATTGTTCTAACACGGTTAATCAGAATCTTTAGATTTTTCATGTAGCCCTTCCTTGATGTTAATAAGAAATTGAACTATAGGAAATGTAGGAGAATTGGAAAAAATACTGTTTTATACTAATTTAAATTCAATAATATCAAGAGAATCCTTGCAACTAATAAAATCCCGACATATTGCTATTTTATAACGGGAAATTTCCAAGACACCTTGTATTTTAGTGCAGTTATAAAAAATAATTTATATTTGTCGCAGGTTGCAACTTTTATCCTGCTGGTGAATATCTGAAGTTCGTGAGAATACCAGAAAACCTCAAAGTAGGAGACGAAGTGCTGAAAGTAGAAGTGCATCCCAGGTAAGCTATCTTAACTGTTAGAGATACTTTTAAAGATACTTATGCAAGCTTCGGGAAAAAATACAATATAATACAAATCTAATAGATATTCCATTCTATAAAATAACTGTTCCAATAAGAATATATTATATTTCTAATTGATGCTTTGGGCACTATTATGCAGTGGAAATATACAATTGATTAAAATGTCATTATTTAGAGAATTGAGTGGTATCACGTGGTCTAAAATATTATAGTCAATACTGGGTAGATTACGTAGTCCGCTCTTAAGATTGTTCTAAAAACGTGCAAAATTAACCTAATGCATATTTATTCATTTTTTTTATTTCAAGCAAATAAAGTAGCATAACATGAATCAATCTAATAATAGCAGTTATACCACATATAATCAGGTCACTAAGCCACTGTTACATAACTGAAAACTTGATGAATGTTTGTGAATTGCTTACAATTATATTTGCTTATGCGCCGTGACGACTTTGATGCATCATAATTATCAATTAGTTTTACTAATTTTTGTATATTATGGTCAACGTCTGCTTCTACAAATACAGAATTAAAACCAAACAATTTTTATTTCTTAGAAAGATAAGCATTATTACAAACTTCCAGAGTAATTTTTGAATTATAATGCTTGAATCGGCGAACTTTTTACCATAACACGTAGCATAGATCACATAGTCGTCTGATATCCCAAATGTTGGCCCAATATCAAAGAAAGATTTACTATTGTTTGAATAATTTGATCGCGTTTAGTTCGTTTTAATGGAACGTGACTTTAAACTAGTTAATGTTTATCGGAGCGTTCGGCTATTAGACGATAATGTTACTACAACGTTAAAAAATCTTAAACATACAAAATTTATTAATACGTTGAGCAAAAACTTTGGACCTTTTTACGAAAATTGCTTGGATGAACAAGTACAAAATGTGATACAGTTAAAGTTTGAATTGAGAAGAAACGCATTATGCTAGTACTTTTTATAATTATACTTAAAAATTAATATTAAATATCTGATAAACTAGAGACACAAAAAAAACAAGACATGAAAAACAGTGAATTGATTTTCTCTATTGTGCTTGGACATTTTGTTCACAAAATGAAAAATAATTATAAATGAGGAGTCTTTGACTATAAAACCTTACATAAATTCGAACTTTACTCGATTCACGACCGCTTGGCGACTAAATAAATACATCATGCTATTAAAATGAGCTTCAAGAGCGTGAGCTACTATTTACTATTTTTTACGTCTCACATAGGCAGCCCTTGATGATACCTGAACTTTTATATACACACACAACTTCTGTTTGATGAAGCTGACTGATTGTAAATGTACCAAACGGTACATTTTGTACAATCAGTAATTCGTGAGCATATGCTTCTTTTAAATAAAACCCGATATTAATTTGGAATCTTCACAATATAAAATAATTAACACACTCATAGAAATGCAACCTTATCAAACAAATCAAGTTCTTCTCCAATTTTGTGGACTAATGATTTATATACTTATGTAATAAAGATTAAAATTTCAAAGTGTGGCTTTTAGCGCAGACAAATTGTAAACCTCACTTCCTTACTCAAATTCAATATTGATATGAAGCTTGATATTTCCTTAGTTGCATAATAGTAAATGGCTAGTCGCTGACCTAAAGACATTGATGTCTGAACGTGAGTCTGATGTTTTATTACTAAAATTTGAATAACGTGTCATTGGAGTATTGAATTTTATGATTTTACGATCTCTTGTTATTTTTTACGAATTGAATTTTTACATTAAAAACACCGTTCTTGTTTGTTCTTTTATTATTAGTAATACAATTGTGATTTTCGTTTTCATAAAACTAGTATGGGGTGAGAATAAAAATATTTTGTTAGTCTTTTACTCCTTGCCTTTTAGGGTCGCGGTCGGTGCATATCTGATGGAAGATTGTCGCACACCATCGTTCGCATAACATCAAAACAGCCAAATATAATTATAATGTGACGTTTATCTTTCGACGTTACGTTAGAATTTCGAGCGCTCTATAATGTAGCGAAACTAGTAAATTTAAGTCTACAACCTACAATCTATGCAAACTTGACATTCCTAACTATTGTATGAAGTTTAATTTTTTTTTTTTACCATCACCCAGACATCATCGTCTTCCTATTAACGTTCCAGTGTCTGGGATATAAGTTTGTCCTAAAATTAGAATCGCGTAGGAAGAATTATACAATAGAGACCAATTCTTATTTCTACTTATGAATTTCCTGTGCATTCTTATAGCTATTGTCAAAGGATTATTATTATGCGGTTTTCGCTTTCGATTGCTATAAAACCAACTGCGGTTGAATAAGGAAATCGCTTAAAATCTAATCTTATCCTACAGTTATAAGCATTTTTACTTTCATTTTCAATTTAAAAAAAATATATATCATTTCAGAGCTCCCTCCTTTCAAGACCGTGGGCAGTTTTGTAATGTTTTGTTTTATTTTAACTTAATAACCTAAAATATTTCTACTCTATTCTAATAATTAACATTTAATTTATAAAAAATGAGTCAGCTTATTCGTTATCGTTTCTAGTAGTCCAGAGACTAAATATATTAAGGTCGTGTGAATGGGTAAAACATTGTAAGATAAATACCGACACCAATGCCAGAATAATATCGAATAGAACCGATTAATTAATAAAACGGTAGGGTCTCCGTGGGACTTCTATAATCGTAATCCTATCGAGGTCTGGGCTAATTTGATTTGCCCTAACAAAAACTGCGGTTCGATATAATATAAAAAGTACTATTTTTATAAATAAAATAATATCAAATTATTGAAATGAAATGAAAATATCTTTATTCAAGTAAGCTTGTTTCAAGCACCTTTGAATCGTCTAAAAAAATTTTCCCCTGCCACTTGTTCAGGACGTCTTTTAGCTGACAAGAAAAACAAGCGAAAGAAACTTACCAGCTCTTTATCATAAGTAATGACGTTACCTTAATCATCTCATTACCAAAATAGTACGTATTATAACAATAATATATACAACTTTGAAATCAATTCCATTTGTCATTATAGTAAAATCGGTTTTTCTCATAGATGATGGCAATGTTTTTTTTTTCATTTCACGGTGTACGTATATTTTTATAGGTATATCTACCTTTAATAATTTTGATACTAGTCTAAAGAAATAATGATTATTATTCTTTTCGATACATTCATTTGAAAGTTAGTGTTAGAAGATTACGTAAATTTCGCAATATCACATGTAAATGTAATGATAATAAATTTTAATGTTCTCACAATGCGATTTGTGATGTTATCTTAGATTGAATAGTGAATAAAAATTAATGATTACGAAGCAACGTAGCACTTTATATTGGCACGGCCGCGATAGAAATCGAAATTTAAATTAGAACTATGTTAACATTTTCAACGTAGCAAATGTCGATGTCCATTGCAGTTGGATATTATTTCACAGTTTAAATTAACTTCCGTTCATAGTAATTATTTAATACAGCATCTCTTGGACTGAAAACTGTGGGCGAATGCTCTTGAGTTTTATTCCCGGTCGGGTTAGGAAAATGAAATTTTATATATTGCCTCGGGTTTGGGTGTTGTTCTTTATCTCCAATTTCCATAATACACGTGCTTTAGCTAATTAACTCAGGAAACTCTATTACAATATCATATTCGCTTTTGTTTTTGTGTAAGGCGTGAGAATTTGGCTCACTCAGCCATGTATAGTTTTAAGTCAATATGTATTTTGTAATTATATACACTCAAATTTTATACTCCGTGATGTGTCAGTGTGTAGCTCGATGGCGTAGAGGATAAGCGCCGCGGCCCACGATCGTAGTCGTTAAGCAACTTTCGCAAGGGTCGGTCACGGGATGGGTGACCAAAATATTATTATCTCGAGCTACTCCGTGCTTCGGAAGGCACGTTAAGCCGTTGGTCCCGGCTGCATTTGCAGTCGTTAATACCCTCCAATCCGCATTGGGCCAGCGTGGAGGGTCATGGCCTATCCTCCTTAACCAACCATAAGGAAGGCTTGAGCCCCTGCAGTGGGGACGTAAAAGGGCTGGTGGTGGTGGATGTGACAGTGGGATTCAACAGAATATCAGTGCAGTGAGCCTTGCTTGCTGCTAAAACTGAGTTGAGTCCAATGTTGGCATAATATAGCATTCATAGCATCTGTCAACAATTCTTTATATTTTTTATATTAGTCGTATATACAGAAACGTTGTTGTGAGCGTTATGTGTGCCTAACATTAAATTACTTTTATTTCTTCTTCAGAATAGTTTATGTAAGTTCCAAAACTTTAGAACCCATTAAGACTGGTTTTATATAAATTTGTTGTAGAATCTATTCAGTAAGTTTTAATCCTATTAATATTTATAAATCTGAAAGCTTCTTTGTTTGGATGTTTGTCCGTCAATCACGCCGAAACTTGAACCGTTCAGTAGAACTGATTTTGATTTTGAACTGATAAGTTGACTTAGATAATAGGATACTTTTTATCCCACTAAAAGTTTCCCTAGAGGACAATGCGGGCAAAGCTGCTGGCGAAAGCTGGTAGGTTTATAAATCAAAATACATCCTTTATTGTGTCTATGTTTTTGCAAGCAATTCTAATTCAATTCTAAAAGTGCTGTTTGCACTGAAATCTATCGAGATGACCTTTCTTGGATAAGACCAGGGGTGCGACTACCTAACTCTCTAGCCATGACTCTAGTCGTAGGTTAAATGACCATATTTCGTTTCATAATACTACTTTCACATGTACTTTAATAATGAATAACAAACGATAAGGAATGACTTAATTAATGTTTAGGGTATAGACAAAAGTGTTACTAAATGACTTTACCCAGATTTATTCACTATTTAGGTGGTTCCATCTTAGAAAAGAAACTCATCTATGCCTGCGTGAACCATCGAAATCCTCACCTTAAATAAATATATGAGAAAACATTTTCATTGGATTTTTTTTAATAGTTACTTCTTTGCACGTTAATTAAAAATAACTTCTAAGTATTAATTTGGAAATACATCATCTGTCTTGATCAATTTTATTGCCTCGTAATTTTGTTTTATTTTCTCTTCAACTTAACCTTTTGAACAATTAAATTATTCAAGTTGTTCCAATTATAATACGTGTTTATTATGTTTCTAGAGCGCAACATTAATAAGTGCATCTTGACATTTATGTCATCATAAAATATATAATTTCTATTACTAACATCAAAGTCTTCTCGTTTGATTTCAACACTTTATTGCTGATTATATCTCCTTATTAATCTGTAATAAAGTGATGAACTTATTGCAGATTAATATTTTACGATGTTTGGAAATGTCAATGAGTTTATGACTTAGTTTTGATTGAGTATGATTATTAAATAACGTCAACATCTTATACATTTTTATATAATACAAACATAGTAAGTCTTATGAAATAAAAAAATACAAGGATAATTAAAGGTAAACATAGCATGCAATCAAACAAACTTAAAATATATGTAACACAAACAGTAAATCAATCAATAATATACATACTTATCCGTTAAAAAAATATATTTATATTTATATAGCCTAAAGTGTCAGTCACATTACCGATGCTATTGTTTAATCAATTCGATCGTGAAATTGGTGCATTAAATCTCAATCTACGAGTAGTACAATGCTAATTGTAGGATATTTAACTGGACACTGCAAATTAAACTGACACCTATTTCTCATGAAATTAAGTGACACTGACATTTGCAGATATTGCAAAAATGAGCGTGAAACACCAAATACAGTGTTATTAATAAACAAGGATTAGTGTTGCACTACAGTATTGACTGCACTTAGTATTTGTCAAAATTTATATTATAAAACAGACTCTTAGCAAAGATTAAGATTAACCTAGTACGAGGTTCTAAGAGTAACATTTACTCATAGAAGATAGGTTTGCTTATTCTCTGTATAATATGAATTTGGATTAATGCTAAAATTGGAATTTTAGTGTACATTTACTTTGACGCTAAACCTTGTTTATTAATAGCGCTGATATTGTGAGAATGTGGATCAAACGAAACAAAAAAGTATATATATTTAGGACGACACATATATGACCTCTCTAAGATGAGTGCCAGGGACTAAGTGGATTGTTTACGCATTTTTCATTAAGAATATTTTACTGTGAATGCAAAAATAATCAAATATAATAACAGTCAGAAATAGCTGACGGCTAGCTAGCTTAAGGAGCTATAGCGGCTAGTAACAATAGATGTTTTAGCTGGCATTGACTAGTTCTAAATAGAACTATATATCGCCTTAAAGATAGATACATGATTTTTTGTTGCTCACACAAAAATGTAAAGTTAACAATAAGTTCTTCATTCTAGTGGGCAAAGGTAGACCACCTTTACCAGGTAGACCATCGCTAAAAGACCGCCTTTGCGGAAAGTTACATTTTTTTAGTTAACTGTAATTAATCTATCAATCACCCTTTGACTGTCTCATTTCTGGGGAACAATTCTTCCCTATAGACAAAATAACTTAAAAGAGAACAGAACAGCGACCGCCTACCTCCTCTAACTTTAACTCTAGCCAAAGGATACGACATCTTAGCGATGTTATAGCGATATTTCATTTTATTACTTTGACATGTACTTCAATAATAGAGCACCGATGATAAAAAAAAAAACAATAATGATTTGACAGCATTATTTCTAACTCAGTTATTTATCCCAAATTTATTTACTAAAAGACATGCCAAAGTAGTAAAGTGAAACGAGTTAACCTCGTAATATTCGCTAAGATGTTTATTTATTTATTTCATAACTTAAAACTATCATTACAGGTGTAGCCCAATGCGATAGTGAAAGCAAAATTAATCACTTAAATTATTAAAATTATAATACACAAATTAACATCAAAACATCATAAAATCATTAAAATTAATAGTCAATAAATAAATATTTATATAAATTTAAAAAAAAGTCTATATGTCTATGGTTAGAGGTTAGGAGGTTGCACCCTAGGCCACAACTTGCTTCGCAGGCCCGATACGGATTGGTGGATATAAACAACTGTAGACGTAGCCAGGATTAACGGGTTAAAGTGCCATCCGAAGCACGCATCTAAATCTAACGAAGATAGCATCTAAGGCGGCAGAAGCTACTTTTTTCTCTCTTAATAAATTTTGATCGCCCATCCAAAGACTGACCCTTGCTAAAAGTGATTAACTTCCACAATCAGAAACCGGACACGCTAACCAGTGCAACATAAAGATTCTCAAAAGATATTTTTGTTTTTAACCAAATTATGATCCATCTTTATGCAGCTATGTACTTTATAACAACATAACGCCATCTACCTACCTATAGTGAAATACCTCTTGGGTGTGTTTTTTTTTTTTAAGAACTATCATTAACTACCTTTGTTTCCACATTGTTAGTTAAAATGGTTTATCTCAAAATAGTAGATTATTTAAGCAAATAATTATATTCTTTAGATAAGATAAGATAAGAGACATCTAGAATGAAGTACCTTGGTTATTCTATTCAATTGTCCGTAGAATTGCTGTTCTTTGGCACAGCAGAAACGTGTTAGTGTAGTTTATCCGTTCAAGCATAGATGGCGTTGCTATTGTAATTAAATGCTAGGCAATATTATAATATGTTTTTTGCCATTATAACTCCATGTGGCTACGTTTAATAATTTTATGAATATTGTTCATTAACTTAAAATTAATACTCTTCAACATTGCTAATATTGTAACCCCAGCTCGACTAACGGTTTAATTGTATCTGCTTTATATCTTCTGGAACTAACATATTTTCACTAGAATGGCCTTGGATAGCGGTAATAGAAACTATTAAATCTGCACATTCTGTCTGTAATTAACTTAACTCCTGGATGCATTTAGCTGAATTTGAATATCGTAGGCAGGATGTGATAGTTTGCGTCTAAGAAGAAACATATCAATTCTTTTCAAAAATCTCGCTAACATATTCTGGAAAGAATTAGTAGCAATTTAGCAAGTTATTACATATAACTATGAAAATTTCATCTTTATTGGCCCCTAATACTCCGTAATCAGTCTCTTTATTTCTATCCTCAGGAAGAACCTGAACCTGCAACCAGTAGATAAAGAGGAGGATGCCCATCTCTTCACATATCGCGACGTGAATCGAACCCACGTGTCTGTCGTGCTGGCTCAGAGTGTGGACGCGTTGGTGGACAGTGATACTCCACAGAACGTAGTCAAGTTCCGGCTGGGTTGCGACTTTGATTCCGGTGATGATTTGGTATGTAAAAATTTTGAGACTGCTCAGAGGTAAAGAGCCGACTGTACCGGCTCGTAGGAACAAGGGACGGTTGTAAAAAACTGACGGCCAACCTGCACTAGTTGGAAGAGCACAAGAAGAAGAAGAGTTAATGAGAAACAAGACGAAATCGATATAAAAAGGAAATTTATATAATCTCTAAAGTAACTTCTTAAATTATACTCTATCTATATCATCGGCGTACGAAAAAAAGAGCTTCCTGTAGGTGTTTTTTTTTAATTCGGTAATAATTATGGAGGTAGTCCTAATGATTGTTAGGAAAGTTTGAAATAAATCACTTCAAAAATCATTAAGCAAACTTTACCCATCCTGAAGTTAGATTAATGATTTTGATGAGTCAAACTTTACCGATCTACTACGAGTTAAAAACTAAACGAATCAGAAGATAAAGGGTCAACCGTAAAGCCCAAAATTATTTTTAAATTTATCAACTTTTCTATTACAATAAAATATTAAAATGGTTGTTGATGATGGTCCAAATCTTTTTGCAACAAGCAGGGCTATATCCTTCAGTCATTATTGATTACAAAAAGATTAAGCGATTGTAAATTTTAACACAAAACCAAAATTACAAATATATACGTGGCGAAATACCAAAACGATATTCTTTCCCATTGTAAAGATAAAAGATTTGTTATATCTTCAAAAGTGATTTAGTAAATTATCCTGCGAACTAAAGGATCACGCTTATAGAACAATATAGAATTTGAAGAAAATTTACGTATTATTGCAACTTTCTGTTACTTGATTGCGTCACTAACACTGTAGTAAGTGTTAAGCATCAAACGTCATTTACAGAGCGATTTATATTGCCTATATAACCCGCGATGATGAAGCTTCCCGTCGGTGATAGAATTTTTGAAATCCAGCACACATAACAAATGAAATTTGCTCTCGCAGTTTCGCAGCCAAAGCAACAAAAACAATCAAATCTTGCCCATATATGTTATTAGTATCATCAGTGCCGCATATTTGGATGTAATAAGAAAGGAAAATTTTCATTGCCAAACGACAAAATATTCGTAAAGTTAGTTTGTTTACTGTAAGTTTTAGTGCTGCTACCAACGCAGAGATTTGCATATTCTATAATATTAGGTAGAAAGTCAAACACAATCACTGAAAATGCTGAGAGAACACTGTAATTTTATTAATAATTTCAATGAATGAAGAAATAATTTAAGATCAATTCTACCTTGAGTGTAAGTGATCGTTATCAAGTTTTCATTGATCGCACAAGGAGAGTGATCTAGGTTAAATAGAAGCAGTCTTACTGTTAGGTTCAGAAAATATAAAAGAGACTCATCATTATCAGCCTATTATTGTCCCTGATGCTAAAGCACAGACCCGCCTTTTTGATGGAATCAAATACCCAGACAAATTGGACTACAACCCACCACGTGAGCTCAGTGTAGGTGTTAACAACATCAATGGCTTAATGTGCCCCCCAAAGCACAACATTTGCTTGAAGTTGGTCAACATCCGAACGAAATACTTCCTCTAAAAATCAAAAATAAAATATAATGCCTCTATTTCTTTATTATTCATGGAAATTCACATGGCACTTGCAATAGCGCCGAAATATCAAGTCTTGGTAAATATAAGGTACTACATGGTTGAGCAATTCCATAAATAAAAATAAATTTCTTATATAGACAATGCTAAAAATAGTCACAAAATATGAACAACAAACGTATCAGTTGTAGGAAATCCATTAAACATCTTGTAGCGAGACTGTCATTTGTTAATAAAATAAATAGAACTGAAAGACTTTATGTTCACTTTTACAACCCCTATCGTAAAAACTGGAAGGCGTCGTTTTAATAAAGTCAATGAACTGCTAGATGCGTAAAGAACACAAGGATCACGGATATATTAGCTTAACTAGAAAGGAAAAATGTGACATTTTACTAAATGTTGGTTTAAGGAAAAATGCTTAAAAATTCCATTTTGTCCCTGGCACTCTGAGATAGGCATTTTTTATTAAGAATATTTTTCATTATAGCATTGTGAATGCAAAATAGATAATTTATAATAAATATTGGCTTATTAACATTAGCCTCCTCTGAACGATCCCCTTTGTCCGTTCTGCGATGCAGAATAATTTAGTTGTACTGGCTACGAATGAAATGAAAATAAAGATAACTATACATAGATGAAAATAAAAATATTATTTAGTCAAATCGATTCAATATTCGAAATAAAAAAATAGAAAATATGTTATTCAGATATCGCTTTCCAACTTATGTTTTATTACATCTGCTATTTATCGGGTTTTTCAATAATATATCATTTAAGTAGCTACTTTATTTGTAAATGGCGATATAAGCACTTTAAATGACTAGTAGTACCTTCAATCAAAAATCAAAGCCACATGAGTATGTGAGCTTTTGCGAGAAGCTAAAAATCGAAATTAGGTAATGCTTCTATTGGCGTATTTCTTCCAATTTAAAATAATCGTCGCATATCACATCCAGATCTTCATCTATAACCAAGGCAACGTTGTTTGCTTTACGCGTGTCTTGCTATATTTGCATAATAATTATTTCCAGCAGCGAAATAAATGCGCAGCTTTTTTCAGATGCGGCGACTACCTGTAGAGCTTTATAGCAATCAAAATATTTGTAGTGTTGCGCTGTTTTTTTTTGTTGCGACTACCCTATGATATTTGCAGAATTTAGTTTGAATTTTGATTTTTCTTTGTTGGCTGGTGGTGTATCTTTAAGTTGCTCTGACTACTTGTTACACTTTAAAAAACAACCTCGAACTCGATGTCGATAAAAGTGTTGTGACAACAAACAACTTCTAATAAAATAAATCCTTACATTTTAACTCCTGCGCTATGACAGCGCTGCGGTCGACGCCGAGTTTCAGGCTGGTTTTATAACATAATAGCACTGCTGTATACCACAAGCAGGGGTGGCCATCTCTAATAGATTTTGAACATTTTCTACGAATCAGCTGCTTTTCTCAGTTTTTAAACCTAATTTTCTTCCGATCATTTAATTTTATCACATAAAATCTGCTTTTACATTCTCGAACGCCCTTGTATGCATTCCATGTGGGGTAAATATAGAAGTAAAAGAAATCTTGCTTTCATTTCTGAATTTCCTTTACTTTTTTTAGCATATACAACTTTTTACAATATACAACGTATATAGTATATTCCACAATAAAAAAGCAAAAGCATATCTTAGTTAAGTTAATAAAGCAAAAGTATACCTTACAGTATAAGTATACTACTTATGCTTGTTGCTTTTTTATTTTTTTATTCAATTTTATTTTCTTTGCTTCCAGATATCGGCATACCTATCTGTGACTGTGTACATAGAGGATGTGAACGATAACTCACCAAAGTTTCTGGACTCTCCTTACAGGGTGACCGTTGATGAGCTTACTCCAGCAGGTAAATTTTATTTACAATCATCATCAGTCTATTGTGTCTCTATTAATAGGAAGAGGTCATTTCTTTGAATAGAATCCCACGGAGAGAACTGTCATAGACAATCATGCGAGCTGAGAGAAGATTGGTAGGTGCTGGCGGAATATGCAGTCAGGACCAATGTCTATACGTATTTAAGAGCACATAAAAGCACGAGATAATAAATTTTTGCTCATACATTCAATCATCAGTTTATCGGTGCGCCAACCAAATATATTAAATACAGGAATCAGTATTTGAATTAAATATGAATAACTTGTTCCTATACTGGAATTATAGTTATCGAAGGAAAAATTCTCCGAGAATTTCCATTTTTTTAACAAAGCTAAATAACAACTTTTATGAAAAAAGAAATTGATAATAGATTGCCTTGATTGAGTCCAATATATCATATAAACATGTAACTGAAAAGAAAAGACCAATTATTTAGCCCTGCGGAACACCCATCCTACCTATGGATTCAGGGGTTGTTTTGCCGAATGTTAAAATATCAAATTGGACATTAATAATACCAAAGTCAAAGCTTATTTGCATACCAGCTATATTGCAGCAGTTAGAAGTTTAGAAAAAGTTTAGAGTTTATATAGTCCATAATTTAATTGAAAATAAGGATAATAAATTGAAGGTCCTGCTTCTGTATATTACTGTGCTGTGTATCATTACAATGAAAACTTTTACAGGTTTCAAACATAAGAAAGACGACCAATCATCTAATAATTTTTCAATTTTTTTCAAAAATATACGCAACAAAACCGTTTTAAAGTCGTTTTATGTTTTTGATTTTTTCAATTTCGATGTGGTTTTTTTTCAAGTAACATAAAGAGTTTTTTTAGCAAGAAAATGCAATGCGTTAATTTCAGTGTTGTTGCTGTTTTTATAATAATACTAGTACAAATACTGTTAATATTTTATCTAATGTTTCAGGTCTGACGATCTACAAGGGGATTCATGCGTTCGATCGCGATAAACCCAACACCCCGAACTCCGATGTACAGTATAGCATCACAGCCGGTGATCCTGAAGGTCATTTTGCATTAGAGAGTTCTCACAAGCCAGGACTTATATTGAGAAAGCCACTGGACTATGATACAGGAGACAAGGAATTCATTCTTACTATCACAGCATGGGTAACATATCACGTTTCTCTTTTAATTACATATAAGGAACACAAGGTTTTTAAGACTCCGTCCATCAAGCAGATAAAACGGAAAGATTGCTCGTGTGTCATATAAGATTTGCTCTGAAACTAGTTAACTAACCGAATTGAAATTTTGAAAACATAACAAGGTGATCTTAAGACGACAAGTTCTCTTTGAAGACGTAATAATAATTAAACATAAAGTTGTAAATATAGAGATATGTTTTGTGTATCACAATTTTGAGTTTTGATTTTTATCTAAGGAAATAGGAGACAAATTAACCTTTGTCTTATCTTTGATTTCCGAAACAATGGAATCTAAAAATTTTGCCATGGCCTAAAAATAGTTTTATATCCAACGATTATAGGAACGTCTTTAAAAAACATTGATTTTTAAAATTAATGTTTTGCGGAACCTTCACGCGCCCCCTCGACTCGCCTGTGTCTTGTATTTTAACATTAAAATGTTCAAGCACATAAAATATATTACATCTAAATAAAATAAAGTCTATTTTAATTAAATAAAGTTCTCTTTATTCGAATCAATTGCACTGATACACATTTCTCTCGATAATAATAGTTTACATTTTTATCCACCATTAAGTTTAAGTTTTTCTTTATATTTAAAGAGCTTATTTTTTCGCTTTACTTATGACATTTCTTATTCTCTCCTTCTAATTGATAAAGTAACCATCTCATTATTATCTTATATTATCAATAAAATTAAAAACTAGGTAGACGTATGAATCATATCTACCATATGGTTGTTCGAGTATTATAAACCTATTGTTATGTACTTAAAGTTCATTTCGTTTATGTTACTTTCACTTTTGACTTTTTCAGGACCGGGGTACGCCACCTCGTAATACTAACACCACAGTACATATTACAGTCCAGGACAACGATGATCTTCCACCAAAATTCACTCTGGATGCTTACAAAACTCAAATACCTGAATTTTACCCTATACTGGTAAATACTTTTTACATTACTCTCTATGTATAAGTAATAACTTTTTGTTGTAGATACGATATTTATCGGATAGGACAGAGTTCGGTAATCTGCGGCTCGCGAGTTGCTGATTTTTCAATTTTTATTTGACAGCTTAAGAGCCTGATGTGGTTACGTTGATTTTTTTGCAAAATAGAAACGTCAATTTAAATTAAAGGTCAATGACTGTTTTTTTTGCCTGCCCTGGAATAGACTATAAATGATTCTTGAGTTTTTTAACTTCAAGGGCAAACGAGTCCATAAAGAGCTGGTCTTCTCAGAGCCAATACATGCGTATGATCAAGATTTGGGTGTATCAGCCCCTATAAGGTACGAGTTGGTTGCTGGCAATGACAGGAAACTATTCTCATTGGATCAGCTAAATGGGAGCATGTTTTTGGAAAAAGAAATTGATTTAGATGCAGAGATTGGTCTGGCAGGTACATGCTTTTTATGTATTTATTTACTCAAAGAAACTTATTTTCCCAGAATATATTTTATGGAGAATTAAGTAAATAAAACTATAAATAATCATTATTTAAAATATATTGAACAGTATTTTACAATTAAAACACTTTTTAAAGTTTAATGTATTTTTAAAATTGATTTTTAATGACATTTAAGTGAAGAGCTTAGTGAAATAAAATCCAATTAATTTACTAAGAAGGATAATGACCATATATCGATTTCAGGGAATACGTTTGTATTGCAAATTCAAGCGGCGCAAGTTGACAATCCTCTGAAGATGGCTCAAGCTCGGGTGGAAATAGAAATATTAGATGTAAACGACAACTTGCCTGAATTTGAAGTTGATTTTTACAATATCAGTATTGTGGAGAATTTGCCTAATGGTAATTGTATAAATAACATTAATATTTATATAAGTAAAACTATTTTTTATTAAATATATAATATAAAATATACGTTATGTAGTAGAAACGTAATAGCGTTTCAAAAATGCGGAATTTATTAAAAAAAAGCACAATAGGCCCTCATAGATGTCAAATAAAGACGTCAAAGCACCTGAGTTTTATAAACCTGAATTAATGAAGTAATACAACAACTAGATCAAAGACAATATAGAAAAGTTCAATTTCTAGATTGATTAGACCAAGAATCAAACCCAGACCTCAAAGTTGGTGATATCATAAAATCGGCGTGCAGATCATTCGGCATAGAAGTCGTTAATAAAAACTAAATTATTACAACATAATTAGGTTTTTAAATTCTGATAAGACTAAGTGTAATTGGAGATTTGTCCTAAAATTATATTGTAGTCACTGTCATCATTTTTATTTAAGGTTTCAGTGTATTGCAAGTTATGGCTACTGATCGAGATCAAGGTGATAATGGGGAGTTTACATACCAACTAAATGATCCTGAAGGTGCTTTTTCGATAGATCCAAGAAACGGGTGGTTAACTGTTAGAAATCAGGTGAATAATGATTTAATGATTGTGGTTTGATTGATTTTATCAGAAATTGCATTTCAAATGTGTTTTTGTATTTTTCTCAGACCATATTGGATAGAGAACATCACTCTTCATTACGCATGAAAGTGTATGCTAAAGAAAAAAATCCAAGTGTCGTTGGAACTTTTTTGGATAAACAGCGATTATCGAAATGGAATCGATCGCCTTCTACACTGCGACCTCCTTATAGAGACAAAACTACATACGTATTTCCTGACAGAATAGGCGCTAAGATTGATAATGTTGAATATTTTGAAGATATACATCAGCTTATGTCTTTTGTAACTGTAGAAGTTACATTGCTCGATGCTAATGACAATAACCCTGTATTTGTACCCAGTAATCTGTACGAATTTGGGATAAAATCAAATGCAAAAGTCAATACTTTTATTGGAAAAGTGAAAGCTGTTGACCCAGACCTAGACCGAAATGGTATAGTATTATACGATTTACAACGTACTAGCAATTTGACTATTACATCTCCATTCCAAATCGATCCTAAAACCGGTGCTATAAGTGTAGCAGAATCACCGATAGCAGAAGGCAGACATGCCCTCTTTATCGAGGCTTCTGATCAACCAGCCAATCCTAGTGAAAGAAGATACTCTTTGGCTGTTGTGACTATTGATGTAACACGTGTAGTAAAAGGTAAGGGTTATACAGTTTTCGTTACAAATTATCGAAGTGATGTACAGAAAATGAATAAAAAAAGTTTGGATAAATTATTTTAGGAAACAGACCAGAAAAGCCCGATTTCCTTGGGGCACCATATGAATTTTGGGTTGGCTCAAATGTTGGAATTGGAACAAGTGTGGGTCAAATACGAATCAATGACGTAATGAATAAAAAGGAAGTCACTTACGATTTATTACATGGATATGAAGAAGGAGGTTTGATTAATTATATTAACATCATAGCAAAATAAATCGAATATTCATGTTACCCTTTAAATTATTTTAATTACAGTACCTTTTGCGGTTGAAGAAAAGTCAGGAGTAATCACAGTCATAGACGAATTGAATAATTTCGACCGCCCGCTATATGATTTTGAAGCAGTGGCAATACAAGATAGTACTAATTTATCAATATCCACAAATACTACGATTCACGTCGTTGATGTTAACGATGAAAGAGGTGTTCTTTTGAAGTAATATATTATTCTACATTTTATAATTTGGTAGAAGTAACTTTTTCGATATTGACACTTGTTTTGTTTGTACAGGGGGGCACAGTCACCACTTATATTTCACGTGAAAGAGAATGTAGCAGGTGCAACAATTGGACAAATTTTTCATGTGAACATAAGTTCTTTACCTATTAATAGCACTGGAAATATTAATTTCATAATTGCAAATAAGCAAGATGTTAACGATGAAATAGCAATAGGTAAAGACTTAGTATTGAAAAATACACTTATAACTTGCAATTATTAACGAATATCATTTATATATGACTATATTAAATTGGTTTTAGGGCAAGATGGTACTATTTATACACAAAGACCTTTGGATAGAGAAAGAAGAGATACATATAGTATTACTGTTATCGCTGAATTCAGCAAAGGCATGATATCAGGTGCTGGTATATATCAAATTACTATAAATGTTGATGATGATAATGACAACGCACCAGTATTTGAAACGTCTTCTTATGAAGGGTCTATAAATGAAAATGCCAAGAAAGGAACAGAAGTCAAAATGAGTAATAAAATAAAAGCGACGGATGCAGATGTAGGTCAAAATGCGCTTTTTGTTTTCACATTGTTCGGCGATGGGCATGAATCATTTGATATTGATGATGATAGTGGACAAGTATTTTTTATTGGAAATAAATTAGATCGTGAAGAAAAAGCAGTTTACATTCTGAAGATTGTGGCCAGAGATAAGGGTGGCTTAAGCTCTGAAGCTAAGATAACGATTACAGTTATAGATGAAAATGATAATATTCCAAAGTATAATCAAATTATTATTCCTTTAGGGGAAAATGTGGAACTTTTGGAAGTTGATGAAAATAGTGATATAATAATTTATCAAGAGAGGAGAAATAATTTGACAGGTCATGTATATAATACTGAAGTAAAACCTAAAAATAAATTTACACTAAATGTAAGTGAGCTGGGTCCAATGTTTTTGATTCCAGAAAATATTGCTATTGGTTCAACTGTACTAAAATTACATGCTGTTGATTTGGATAGTGGTAGCAATAGTCAAATAAGATATGAATTTATTTCAGAAATATTTACACCCCCTTATACATTACCCACGAATGCTGTGCAACTAAAACGATATTTTGTCATAAATGAACGGCATGGACATATTATTGTTGCACGTACACTGCCACCAGAATCTGAGTTTAGACTGAATATATCTGCAATAGATGGTGGTGAGTTAAGTGACCATATAACAGTGAGAATATTTGTAAAAGACATTAATGATCACTATCCAATGTTTAAAAAATCTTGGTATACTTTTGATGTAGAAGAAGCACAATATTCAAGAAGAGTACTGGGAAAAGTGGATGCCACAGATGCAGATTTTGGACAAAATGCCAATTTGACTTACTTTATTGAACCATCAAGTAGTGACATACCATTTGAAGTATCGCCTCTAACAGGTGTTTTTAGTGTAAATGGTGAACTTGATAGAGAAAAAGAGGACAAGTATATTTTGACAGTTATAGCAAGAGATAACGGGCAGAACAAAAAACTTTCATCATCAGTGAGCGTAGAAATTCAAGTTTTAGACATCAATGACAATTCACCTAAGTTTATTGGATATGATGATATTTTCGAGTGGAAGCATCCAGAAGCCACTGAAATGTCAAACCATAACTTTGAATCAGTTTCGGTGATACCAATTTATAAAGCCACGATACCAGAAAATGTTCCTGTTGGAACAGTTGTTACTAAAGTTTATGCCAATGACTCAGATTTTATTGGGAATGGAAATGGTCTAATTTTATACAGTTTACCACAAAGAAAAAATCAGTTAAATCTTTTTGCTATTGACTCTAAAGAAGGTATCATTACTACGACAGGAAAATTAGATTTTGAAATTCAAAGTCAATATAATGTCACTATTATAGCTTCTGATCTCGGTTCTCCTAGTTTGAGTTCTACAGCAATGCTTATGTTGACAATAACAGATATTCCTGATGATGTGGAAATCTTGGATAAGCCCGTTTTTATTTCTCGGTATTATGAATTAGAAATTGAAGAAAATGTACGAGCTCCTGTAGAATTAGTCACACTTAATTTGACCGAGCACTATGAGACTTTTAAGATGAAGTATTTTATCTTAAATGAAAATGATACTATTATAAATAAAACGTTTATGATTGATCCTAAAAACGGAACTTTGTATTTGACTAGAAGTCCAGATAGAGAAATCAGAGACATGTATGAAGTCATTGTACGCAGTGAAAGACAAAAAACAAGCAGGGAGCTTCCGCATATGATTTATCCTGTATCAGATAATGTATTGGAAGGAATGACTAAATATGATGTCAAAATAGTAGTAAGAATAAAAGATGTCAATGACAATGCGCCCAAATTCTCCAACGGTGGGCGACCTTTAGTTACCGCTATACCTACAACAGCACCATTTGGCTACCAAGTTATGCAGTTACATGTAAGCTATTATGTATTAATATACGTTTAGGAACTATAAATTTTAGTATTAATATAACCAAAATTCACCACCAATTCTTATATCTAGGCTACAGATGCTGATACAGGTATTAATGCCGATATCCGCTATCAGATTATAAACGAACAGGCACCAAGATTTGCAATAGATTCAATCACGGGTCGAGTAAGAGTGGTAGCTTCTTTGCTAAGGGACTCTGGAAGAGTATTCGGTTTTGATGTAAAGGCAACAGATAAGCGAGGTGCAGATGATGGAAAATCAGCAATTGCTAACGTTTTTGTAAGTATATTTATTAATTTTAATTTTTTAAGAACTAATCATAAAAATGAGCCTTCGATTTTAAATAGCTGTTGCTTCAGTATGCATATAAATAAAAATTGTTCAGATTCCAAGTATCTAAAGCCTTAATCTAGAACATATAAATTTGGTTTCTATTATAATATCTTAAACTTAGGCAATAGTGAAAAACATAATTTATTTATTGATAAAACCGGGAATCAAACCAGTCATCAAAGGGAAGGTGACACCTTGAAACTAGAGCATGAACTAGTTGGCAACAGAGGTCATTATAAATGTATCACTGATCAAAACGTTAGTTAGTACGTGAATCCAGTGAGCTCTGTAATCTAGTGAGTGTTTGGCCTACTTTGGCCGGAGATACGGAATCAAGTTCCTTTTGATGTAAATTTTCAAAATTTAATATTGAGAAGCAAATATTCTCCTTTTGAATTTACGTAGTGGCGATTATTTTCCAGCTGATACGATGATAATGATTAATTTTAATACATTACAGGTCTATGTGCTTGATGAAAACAAACAACTAGTTTTGGTTGTTGGAGCCAGACCAATGGAAGTTGAGAGAGAAATAGGAAATATTACACGCTACTTGACCACTATGACTGGCTACGATATTAGAGTGAGACGACTGGAAGCCAATATGAGAGCATCGATGGATGGATATGCGTAAAATATTTTGTCATATTCTTAGAATATTTTGTTGAAATGATTATAAGGAAAATATTTTATTAAGGCTAGTAGTAGATAACAGGAATGAACCCTGATTATACTCAATATACTCTCTTCTTGATATATATTATACACTCACAGGCATGATTAACCCCATTATTAAATTTCTATTTCTCTCAATTCGCCGAATTCGCTAAACTTAGCCCATGTTTTATGAAAGGAATGTTAAAAACTATACTTAAAGAAAATATACATAATACATATACATCAAACATATTTTATTAAAGGATGCTTATTAAAAATCGTTTTTTTGAAAATCTCCAATGAAAATTTTGTTTTTAAAAATAATGGGGCAATTAAAATAAAAATTAATAGTGGATGTTACCACCTCTGCCCGTTATGATTTCTTGGAGCCGTTTTGTCATTCATGATTTCTTAAATAACCGATTGGGGGATATTGGTATTTATTACACTCCTCTACTGCAGCTGTTTTTAGCTCTCCTATAGTCGCAGGGACTTGTACTCTTGCTCGGACATGTATTTTATGGCTGTCCCAGATGTGAAATATTAGGTTGAGATCGAGACTGCGTACGGGCCATAGTAAAACTTGAATCCCGACCTCATTAAGATACTCATTGACGAATCTTGCGGTATGGCAACGTGCTTTGTCATGCATTAATCTGAAGTTATCACCAATAAACGGAGCGAAAGGTATGACATAGTCTTAAAGAACTTCTTCCACGTATCTTTGATCATTTACACTTCCTCTATCGAACACAACAAGATCGGTACGAGCCTTCATAAGAAATACCTCCCCACACCTCTCATTTTGACACGCTGACGTCCATCTAGACCTCTTAAGGCTATTCTGCTCTCATCTGAGAACAGTACGTTCTTCCATTCTTCTATAGTCCAGTCAGCATATTCTCGCGCAAAACCAAATCTAGCTCTATGGTGTTGTGGAAGCTGGATGAAAAGCCTACAAATTACTTTCTGCTAGTTTCTTCTAATGGTACGTTCACTGACACTGGCATTTTTCAACTCAAAGAGACGCGTATGAGCTTTTGTAGCGGTCAAAAAGCGATTTCTCAACACATTCGTGATAACGAAACGGCCATCTCGAGTCGAACTGCATCGATATCGGCTTGACCTGGCCTGCGGGTGTATAAGCCTGTCTCCCGAAATCGTTTGATGGCACAGAGTGTGCGAGCGATGCTTCGCTGGCTATACCCCGCATCAGTTAAAGCCTGGCCTAGTATATCAGTTACGTCAAGTATCATTTTTTGCAATCACAAACAATGGCCAAGTACTATAATTTCAAATAAAACAATATTCATCCACTATGATAGAAAATAACAGGAAATGTTAACTCGGTAACACGACAGCAACAATGTAAAATAACGACTAAAGTCCGAAAATCCTTTGGCGACACAAATTTAGGGAAGAAAATAATGTTATTAGTCTTTTAGTTATTGCTAGAGAACCCACTTAACAAAAAACAAAACAGTTGATAAGCCATAGTTGACGGAACCAAACAGGGAGATGAATGTATCATTCATACAAGTGGGTGGTTTATTATGCCTGTGAGTGTATTAGATATTTAAAGTTTTCGAAAACGAGGTGTTTTCAAGATTTTCAAAAGAGCCTATCCTGTTGACAAAAAAGTCCAAATTGATATAGATTTTTTTTATTAAGAAGATAATCTTTCTTAGAATTTGCAGCCTATAACCACTTTAATTATTTTAAAATATCATAGTAAGTTTTGAATTAATAAGCAAATTAATTTCAGACGAGAGCCTAAAACTTTCTGTGAAATTATTTTTTACGACCTTGTTTTTATACATATTCATTGAAGACTCTCTTTGTAAAGCTTAAATTAGTTTGTTGTATTAGATTATAAAGAAACATTTTTGATTATTGAGACGTTTTTGTTTATAGGACTGACATTTACCTGTACGCTGTCGATCCAATGTCTAATGCCATAATAGATATGGACATCTTACAAAAGTGAGTATTTAATAAATATAATGAAGTTAAGTTATTAATAACTTTATTTTTGAAGCATAATATAATAACGATACTGTAAATGTTTGTTTGAACAATCCTTTATTATTAATTCATAGATGATGTTAAAGAAAAAAGTAATTTTTCAAAATATCATACTTATTTTGTCTGAATTTTGGTCTTATCCAACTTGAATACAAAAGATCACTGTAAATTTTTATAATACTCGAGAGTCTGGCATAACACGCACAACTCTTAGTGATTAGCCGTCGGTAACCAGGCAGAATCTGTTTAGGTATGGCGGTGTACCGGATTCCCTTTCAATTTCATTTTTAGTTTTTGCAGGAAATGTGCAAATTAAGCACACTAACTGATACCAGTGTTGGCTAGCATATTACTGTTAGCAACCGCATCAAAAATAGTTGGCGTTTAGACTATGATTACTACGTTTGCGCAGTATCGAAATTGAATCAACTTCTAAAAACCAGACAAAGCACGTTATTCATTTTCTTTAAACAAATGCGTGTTTTTGTGGTATAGTTATTGTTTGTACGATCGGTTGCATAGCGGAAGTTTGAGCAACTTTCACGAGTAAAAAACATTATCTTGAGTGCTTCTGTGCTTCGGAAGCCACGTTAAACCATTAGTCTCGGCTACATCTGCAGTCGTTAATACCCATTAATTTTTACTGAGCCCGCGTAGTGGGTCTATTCTCCCTATATTTCATCCATAGAGAAGGCCTGTGTTTCAGGAACGATAATAAGTTGATAATGATATGACAATGCTATTTAAACTATTTTTAATATGAAATATGTTTCAGGTCACTTCTGAAGAGAGAGATTGATCTTCGACATGACCTCTCCGGATTCAAGGTTTTAGAAGTGGGAGACACCGCTATGGTTCAGGCTCGAAGCAGCAAACTTTTGAACACAATGGAGATCAGCGTGGTTGCTTTGGGGTGCATTGTATTTGTGGGTGCCTGTACTACGGCGATCTGCGTTCTTTGTGTTAAAAGAAGTAGACGGTATGTTCCGAATTTTTTGATTTGGTAAATCAAATTATTCTTGTGTTTGGTTTGTTTGTATATGTTGATTGCATTCTAGCTTTGCACTTTTAAAATCAAATTTGACATATCGTGGACTATTTCGCCTGTCCTGCTCTGTCTTACGTATTTTTATATAACAAATTAAACAGAGCATACTAATGAAGTCGATCACATACCTACGATTGGTTTTCAGACCCTTAAGGCTTTATCATATAACAAAGAAAAGTATTCGAATGATAATTAACCGTAGTTTGTAGCAGAAAAGATGATGCTCTTTTGATTTCTACTTTCACCATCATTATTGTTGCAATTTAAAGGATCACTTAGTCAATTAAACCGATCAGAGAACAACAGGCGTCACTCGTATAATTTGATTGATCCTTTATTTCAAGATTGACGGTGCGGTCGACTGTACACGCATAAACAGTAACATTTGCTGTTATCCTTGTGACGCATTTAATCCCCAAAGTTTTCCTAACATAATAATATGTTTTGTGGTCCTTACTGTGTCTTATTTAATGTGAGTGTAATCATAACGGAATTTTGTAAAACAACTGGTGTTGTACTTAAGAAATTATTTTAGGATCCCCAATACTAGACGCGATATTTTTAATTCAAAGTCTATAACTACCATGACATCATTAAAATAATTATATTAATAGAATAAAAAAATAATTATAAAAAAAAAACAAAGCCACTTAAAACATCAAATTAAAAAGATGTTTTAATATCTAGGCTTTTTAAATGAGGTTGAATTTTTGAACTCAACATGCTCATAAAATACGGTATTTAGATATCACATAAAAGGCGGTCTATTTTCTAATTTACACTGTATATATACAGTCTGAAATTGAATAACCAGATTAACTGAAATTGAATAAACGCAAACCTAATCGAAGTAGACACAAACAATCTAAAAAGATGCCCGTATCGAAAATAATTTATTTGTGTTGAAAATTTTCCCATTGATTTTGCTTCTATTGAAACAGACTTCAACTTTTTCACACAATTCATTGACAATGACATTACTATCTTCAACTTTCCAAGAAAACTTAGCCATTCCTTAGTTTCAAGTGTCAATAGCCTTAACCCTTAGATACATTAAGATACTAAATGTCGCTCAACTTGACGCGTTATACTTAATCTGTGTGTTTCAATATTATCCAATATCTTGCAATATGTCCCGTAACATTTTGTTAATGCTGGACATGTTGCTTCTCCCGCGCTGAGAGCAAGTGTATCTCTTCCCTATCAATTTTCAGTATTCAAGTGCGCATTGTTTCTCTCAACATTCTAAGATCACTTATAATATGAATTCTTGTTTCTTTTTATTAATACATTTCGCATCGTTCACCTTCTTTTTCACATAAGCATGTTCGATGCAGTAATCGCAACAATGTTCTCAGAAGAAATTTCTATGTACACCGGGTAGTGCGATCTGCGATACATTCCGCGTTATTTGATTCGGAACAATTCTCATAGTTATTTATAAAAGAAATATGCTGCTTCGTTTGTCCCCTAGTGTATCTAGAGCTTTAATAGACATCACGACAGCTATTTTAATTTCATGAATGACATTGGCAATGTTCTCCTTTTATTCTATATTAGATCACAAGCCTTTGTATATAAAAACTATTTACTTATTACTTTTAAACAATATACATAAGGCTTGGGGGTCCTCTTTTTTATTAATATTAGGTAAAGAGAATTTTATTTTTATATTCCTTTTTCAGAGAACACGGCCACGACATACAAAAGCATGCAACACGCTATTTCAATAAATAAAGAAAGATATTTATTATTTATTTCTGTTTCTATTTCTCAGTAGTTTAATTTTACTATAAGTAGACTTTAAATAAATTTCAATTTCGAAACTTGGTGCGTTGTAATTCTACCAAAAAGTTGTATTATATGCTGTGTATAATGTAAAAATCTGTATCCATCTTGTGTATTGACGACCAGCTAACTTTCATTATTCCTTTTACTTTAACAGAAAACGGCACAAACCATATCCCCAGCAACGTCTTAACGCTTTTTCCACTGAGCACCTAACAAAATATGGAGGTCTCTTCCCATCTGGAGCAAACCAGTGCCAAGAACTGAACCAATCTTACAGCGAAGCCGATTCTTATATCGACGTTATAAACCACAATTTAACAAAGAAAATTTGCCCGCATGGCAACACTGTTGAAGAATTTGGGAAAGCCCATCAGAAATGCGTGAAAGGCCAATACGATCATAACTCCGATTTTGGTCAGAAACATGAGAGGATGTGCATCAAATTCAACCAGCGTCCAATGAAGAAAAGGTAAGTTTCATTAATTGTTTAAAATAACTCGGCTTCTTATACCTATCTACTCGTATCTATTTTTTTAATCAACAACTTTAATTAATTAAGCATGGATTCGATGGAATTTAATGGTATTGGTATTTTAATATTAATTAAAATATGTCCCTTATTACACCTGCGATATTGCTTCCATATTTATATCAACTTCAGAGTCCCACTCACTTCATTAACTGCTTTAGATTCTCAGCCAGTTGCACAAACGCCCATTAAAATTTTCATTAATTTAAAGAGACATTACCCATACAAATTTGACATTCATTAGAGCATAAAGGCGTCATTAAACCTTAATGGATGTTTGTGCAACTGAGGGTCTGCCACTTACATTTTGTATCTGTATATATTTCAACATCGACATTAATAAAAATAAAATTTCTATTTTACTGCCCGAATTTCATATCCAATTTTTAAGTTTTATTTTCTACCTACATAGTGCTTATATCAATGCCGTTAGCACACGAAATTTTCTTCAACACCTTTTCGTGCTAAGAGCATTAATATGGATGATGTAAATTCGACAGTAAGTCAAGCTATACTAATGCTTCCTCATTAAGCGCCGGAGAGTGATCATTGGTTGTTGCTCAGCATCACACGATGTTTTTAAATTACTGTAAACTAATTAGTAAATCGTGGATAGCATATTTGACTACATGTTTAATTATTTAGGTGATATTTAATGTATCATTATTAATGAAAAATGTGTAGTTGTTAGCTATTCATAATAAAGAGAGAAAAAAAAAAGCTATACCAAAATAACTAACTTAACTTCTCTACTTGAGGAGAAATGAAAATATTGTGCTAACCTGACAACATTAAAATACTATCGATTGCTAAATGGATAAAACTCGTTGGAAATATTATATGATTTATCGGTTTACAATATTAATTTATTATCAATGGTAAAGAGTTCCTTGAGGACTAGAATCATCGGTATAATCAGCACTAACAATCTTACAGCCTAACATAAACCATATCAAAAAACTTCATGTAACTAATCATACTGATACATATTAAGCATAGCACAAATAACATACTTAACATATCATAAATACTAATCAGACCAAGAACACAACAACACAATAAACATGAACAATTCTTAGGAAGGGGCAGGACACGTCCATAACTTCAGTAAATTCCAGTGGCCAAGACTCGGGGATAGCCGAGGCCCGGTGTCCCTGTGGCCAATCCAGCGTCCACACATCGGAGGAGAGCAGTGGGTTAGTTAACAATAACACATATTTTTAATAGTAAATAAATAGTTAAAAAAGTCGGTTCAGTAGTTTCGTAACCTGTTCATTACAACAATCAATTAAAATAACTCTTAAACAGCCTGGTGCACAAACGTCCATTAAAATTATCATTAGTTTAAAGCGTCATTACTAATACAAATTTGACACTCATTAGATCTTAAAGGCGTCATTTAAGCTTAATGGACGATTGTGAAACTGACCGTAAGTGTGTAAAATAATAATTTTACTTATGTGGTAGAATTAGTGAAGTAGAAGCAGCTTTTTTGTATTTATAATAATAAGTATTGAGTAATAAATTAAGTAATTTACATAATTATTGGCTCAATTCAAGGTCAATCAGTATATAGGAATGCATCTAAAATTTCAATTATGTGTTTTAATTGAAAACGTCAAGTGATTTCGCTTACTACATGTATCTTTTCTTACGAAAGCAAAAAAACTACTATTCTAGGCATAGATGTACTTAATCTGGAATAAGTTAGTCGGGCCTTCGACACTGTATTTTTAAGACTCCGGATAATGTGGAATTGGACGTAATTGGATACTACATAGACATTATAGGACACTAGACAGTGTAAGCTTGGATAATCAAAATGGATAATATATTTAGTAGAATTTTCTCACGAATGTTATTTTATTTGGACAGTTTTTCCGTTGTTTTTTTTTCGTTTTTTAGCAAACTTACATATACATGGATAGTCTGGAATATTTAAACTTTAATTCTATTTGCTAAGTTCGTCTGCTTGGATGTGCATAAAATGGGTAACCATACATATAAGTAAAACTGTTTCCTAAATTTCGCTTTTCGCTAAAAGAAACAAGTTTTTGAATTTCACTTTTTAAGGCGAAGTTCAAAGGGCATGTTATAAAACGCTCAGCTTACTGGTTACTTATAATTAGAATGAAATAATACTACCACATATCTAATTTTAATTTTAAATTCACAATTTAATATTTATTATATAACTACCAATCTTTCCCGTTTCTAAACGCAATTTGAACACGAATTAAATTTTTGGGTAGTTTTTTTTCCTTAAGAGATATAATTGACGGAATGATTTCCAACGAATTAGCTGATAATAGGTATTATATGGCTTCGTCTTCATAAATTGGGTGTTTCATATTTGTTAACATTATTTTAGATAGATTAACTCATATTATATATTTTAATATTTACACGAGGTCTTGTTTGAATAAATGTGAAAAATTTCTTATAGTTATTTGAATTTTCAAACTTTCAAAAATTTTAACTCGAAAAGTAAATAATTAATAAACGCAATCAAACTTCAAGTAATGTAATTCTGTTATTTTTGTTAGTTGCAGTTATGAAGATTCCCTGAAATCGAATAATAACCAAGAGTCTCGTAAGCCATACAGAGAACCTGAACAAATTTTCCATCGTCGAGCGTCGTTTAATCACCAGCCTTTAGATTCGCGTCATTTACACTATAGAAGGCAATCTTTCTCAGAAAATATGCAAAGACATTTCCCATCATTCGAAAAACCTAGCTCTAATAGACTTATCCGACAAATATCCTCTCCAAATGTATCAAATATTGGACAGCCATATTTTGTAAGTAGAAAAAAAAGTATGAGAAAAAATGAAGTTGTTAATGAACCTATGATTGATTATGATCATAGTGAAAATGAAGATATGTTCGACACAAGAATGGACAGAAGACCTAGTGCTAAGAATCATAAAAGGAAAAGTTTCATGGATTTGAGTGGACAAGCAGCAGTTTTTGTTGCAACTCCAGCTGCTGCAGAGATTATGAGAAGACAAGGCAGCGAAAGACTTATGTTTGCTAGACCTTTATAGTAAATTAACGTTACAAAATACAAAGAATTGGTGGAAGCTTTTCATAAAAGTGAGAAACATGACTGAAGATGAAAGTGTTAGAGGAGAAAAACGTTATTTTTCCTGTATAGATAGAACGGAGACTCTCCAGTGATACTGAATACTCATTTAATAAGGCCAATCGTAATTGGTTACCAATAATAATAAAAAGTGTGATAACATAAATACAAAGAATATTACGAGAGGACAAAGTGCAATTTCTTATGATAGTATATTTTAAAATATTGTACAATGTATTGTAAATAAGAATCCTGTAGATATTAATAATATGAATAGTGTAAACATTGATACTCTTTTCGCCAAGTTATTTCAATTTCTTGTTATTACTAAGTGTGCCATTTGGAATGTCTGCATGATGAAGACTCAATAATGTTTTAATAATTTTAACCACCTGTATCATTACTTCCTATTTATGTAAAATATGTGTCGTTACTTTGTAAATACTTTTAATTTTTAAGAAATAATTGATGAGATTACAATCATGTTTTCTTTTGCATTTCATCAACTATAAATTTAATAAACATAATAAGACAAGATCCTTATTTTTTATAGTCAAGACTTGAATAGTATGAATAAAGTATTTTACGGTAGCTATAAAAACTACGAAATGTTTATGATGCAGCAGTGTTTTTACGGTATTGATATTTTCATATCAACAATCTACACTGCTAATTCGTCACAGAATAGAAATCGAAACAGTTGCCGTAAGTATCTCCAGGAAGGTCCTAACTCATTGCCAAACATATATCAAACACTAGTCGCATGGTAAGGTTTAGTATAATAACGCTACTTTCAAATTTATCGAAACCAGGTACATTACAATATTACTTGCATGCCTAAGTGGCTTGGACGTCAATTTCAATGTGTCGCCATCTCTGAGAACTTGAGTGAATACTTTATTTTGTTCTGCACTCTGTCAAAGGTCTCGGGTTAATTTCCAGGTTTCGTTGATGTGGAAAATTAACTTTCCTATATTATTCTGTATTTCCTATATTATTTTTAAAGTTTTGCTGTTGACAGTGACCTGGCTCACCCATTTAGTAAATGTTCAAAATATTTTTGTTGCAACAATGTGACATTTGTTTATTTATAGCAAATACACAACACCACTACTGCACACTAATGCATCTGTAGGTTTATATTTAAATTACCACTTTACATCCCAACGTTATTAATCTCAGTCAGTCCTTTATCTGGACAAGCCAAAAACGTGATCCCCGGAGAACCGCAGGTTTTGAGGACACCCTCTATTAAAGCTTAAACATCCGGGGTCAACGACAGCGCCTCTTATGTGATATTTGCGACTCTCATAAATCTGAAGGAACTGTAAAGGATCAACGATTAATATAAAAATCATAACTAAACGTTTATTTACTAAACAAGGACACAAAAGAGTTTAATTTGATTACCATATTGAACGGAAATTTGCTATTTTATTTTATTACAAACCTACGATATTTATGTATCTTACAGAAAAATATTTTGACTAAAGCAAATTAGTACTTTATAAATAAAGATATTTATATGAATTATTTCAAGACTCTACATGTTTAGCAGAATTGTTGGTTATTCTTTGAGGATTCGTAGCATTTTTATATATATGTCGCCGTTGTTCTTGAACGGCTGGATTCTTCGTACGTATAGTCCAGTATTCATTCCACAGAGATATCTTCTTGTCGCAAAACCTAGCTAAAGGAGATAAGGATTGTGTACTGTCTGTACCGTCATCCCTTGTGATAGATGAATATAAACAAACTCATTCACTTGCGTTAACACGGCATCAGCAATAGTTATATATTACTTACATTCGATAATGTTTCTTTGACATTTTATACTATAGGGACAATAAGTACTGTTTGATGCTGAGTTTCTGAAGGATAAACTCATTAGTTTGAACTCCGTTCACATCACATCTCCAAGTTATCTATATTTTTTTTTCTCGTTTATATATTGTACAAAGGCGAAAGTTTGGATATTTGTTACATCGACTATTTAAATAAAACTACTGTTCAGATATCGATATGATAAACTGATAATAAAATTCTTAGTGTGTATTGTCTAAATTATAATTACCAAAGCAAGCGCGAATTATGTGATAAACGAACTTAAACGATTCCAGAAGCCTGCAGAAGATATTACCAATTAGAGACAGATTGATCTTCAATCAAAATAAATGATAAAATAATGTACAAAAAGCTTGGAAACTAAGCCAAATAATAAAGAAACAATTTAAGTCTCAGTAGGCGTTGAATGTATAAAATTTATACCTAATGCAGTAAAGGCATAGTAACCCAAATCTAAAATAGAAGTACTTTTCTAAATTGATCATCATATTTTCTGATAGTTCCCACAGGGATTTCACCTAGTTATAATGAAAATTATGACTTGAAAGATTTTTTCTCAGTAATAACATCCCGCTGGGAAACAAGACCGCTTACTCCAAACTGAGAATGAAATCTAACTATAGCAGGCAATGGAAGGTTACTGCGATATTTTATGATGTAAATAAAAAGTAATGGATGACTGTAAAAACTTTAGGTATTTACTCATCGGTGTTGCTATTGTATCGATAGTTTCGCTGTCGATAATTGTCCTTGAGAAACCAACTGTCATACTGTATGTAGTTTTAAATATTATAGACAGTAACACGTGAAAGTGATGCAAGAAATCGATCTCAGTTGAAATATTGACTATTCATATTTTGAATAATTTTCGATATAACAATATTCACCATAGCCAATTATTATCCTTACTACTACAGGCACGAGCCTGCCTGAAGGGGCTTTCCATGAATAGACTCACGAAGAGAGAGTAGGCTATCACTCACCACGCTAACCTCTTGAGGATTAATACGCGTTTTAAATAAAATAACTTACTGCGCCCTAAGATTTTGAGCACTCGTTCAATGACAGACTATTGTGAAACATATTTAACTTCTTCTATTGGTAACCTCGCCACGTTATCAAACCCCTTTGTTAATTCTTAAAATGCTATTTCGTCACAGCGCTGCGCTCGATATTGAGTCTAATTTTAACAGAACAGAAGTCACTTGGAATTCGTTTGAACACTTGATTCCTTGGATCTGAGACAACGATGACACTATCGAGCGATATCGCAATATTTAATTAATTTGATACAGCGCATATACATTCGAGTCCTCCTTTTATTTATACTAGGGAAGACATTTTATAGAAGCTATACATAACAAGCAATACATTTTATAGAAGCTGTGTAGGATCTTGTAAAAACAGTTGATTCACGGATGCAGTATACAATCGGTTTATTTGAATCGGTATACACTGATTTCGGCAAGGTTTTCGAAATGGTAAATCATGGTATTCGATTGAAAATTTATTTTTTGTGGAGTTTCAGGGCCACGGCTTAGTTGGTTTCTACCATACCTCACACAACGTAATCTAACAGTTGTGATAAATGGACTGCGATATTATCCGTACGTAGCAACATCAGATATTCCACAGGTGTCCAACTTGGGTCCTCATCTAAGCAATATTTTAACCAATGTTGTGGAGCAGTGTTTCCAACATTCTAATGCTCTAAAAAAATAACAAATATAGAGATTCAGAATTGTTACAAGATGATTTGAATAAATTCATGGTATGATTATATTATTGGGTGTATGCAAAAATAGTGCAACTTTTGTTCCTTGCTCTTAAGACAATATTGAAACTTCAAATTTTCTTGCGTCATTTTGTGCTGTGGTAGGTCTATTAGTGAGCTTTAAGAATTGATTAAAGATTCGTAATTTAGTTGTTTTTACATTGTGTACAAAAATTAGGCTAACAATGTCGGTAAGTAAAGAACATTTTCGCCATTGTCTTCTTTACGAATATCAACAAGGAAAAAAGGCAAAAGATGCTTTTAAATCATTGACTAACGTTTTTGGCGAAGATACAGTTAGTTATTCAACAATTACTAGGTGGTATAAACGTTTCAAAGGCGGCAATTACACTTTGGAGGATTATGAACGTGAAGGTCGTCCAGAAAAGTGTTTAAATGATAATTTGCAAATGTTGCTTGATGAAAACCCATGTCGAACTCAAGAAGAATTAGCAGAAGTGCTCGAAGTTGACCAGGCAACAATTTCCAGACATTTAAAAGTGATGGGAAAAATTGCAAAGGCAGGACGGTGGGTTCCTCATGAACTAAGTGAAACAAACAAAAACGAGCGCGTGGATACTTGCCATTCTTTACTCCTTCGACATAGAAAAAAATCATTTCTTTGGAAAATTATAACAGGGGATGAAAAATGGATTTATTTTGATAATCCAAAACGTAAAAAATCGTACGTTGATCCTGGGAAACCCTCCACATCAATTCCTAAACAAAAAATTCATACAGATAAAGTGATGCTCTGTGTGTGGTGGAATTGGAAAGGAATCTTATATTATGAGCTGTTACAACCGAAGCAAACAGTTACGGCGGAAATATATTATCGACAATTGAACCGATTGAGTGAAGTATTGGGTGAAAAGTACCCGTTCACTGGCCACGGACAACGTCCAGTGAAGTTGTTGCATGACAACGCCAGACCACACATTGCAAAATCTGTCCGTGACACTTTAATGTCTCTAGGTTGGGAAGTTTTAAGACATCCGGCGTACTCTCCTGACCTAGCGCCTACAGACTACCATCTTTTTAGATCGATGAATAACGCGCTACAAGGTGTACGCTTTCGATCATTTGAAAAAGTGCAGAAATGGGTAGACAACTTCTTTGCATCGAAAAGCCAAAAATTTTTTCGTGAGGGAATCCATAAATTACCAAGCCGGTGGCAGAAGGTGTTGGACAATAACGGAGAATATTTTGATGATTAACATATTGTTCATTTGTCTGTAAAGTAAAATTCAAAAAATTTGAAAAAAGTTGCATTATTTTTGCATACACCCAATATAAAACGAGGGATAACTTAACTGTAGACAAAATTTAAAGAAGATAAGTCT